TTAAAAGGCGCATAGTCCCAATGACGGTGTCGTGACAAGCGTCAGTGTAATTGACCTTTTAAAACAAAAGTTATTGACCCCCTCACGTCCGAGGCGAGGGATTACTTCCTGTTTCCTTGCAGTTCGCACTTGGTTGTCCAAAGGCGAGAGATGCACCCTCAAAATAAAAAAACGCCGAGTGGCGCTGGGGATGTCTCCCGTACCAAGCTCCCAAGAAACTTCACCATCATGTCTGGAGCCGGTTTATCCTTTCCAAGGAACCAGCCACGGTAAAGTAAAGTTATACCCTCAGCTTAAGCGTGGAGCTCATTCATCGTCCAGGTTTTCAAGCATCGGTGCTTACTTAGTTTTAAAATGACAATAAAGCAAGTAGGCTATTTAAGTGAGCTAAGCTACTGTGCAGTACAGTGTGTTTCAGTGGGAAATTCATTACCACATCGAATTCAGATGAGTGGGCTTCACAACAACGGTGGTGATCAATTGAGGAAGGCCACGCACTACCCGTTCAAGTCCAATGGTTTATCAACAGCCGAAGTTAAAGCACACCATAGTTTCCATTTCATTTATTCCGTTTGGGTCCAACCTGTATACCAATCAAGCGATGGTCCACGAATGTTTTTAGTTTGTGATTTTCATACAGACGCAGTTTTGTCAGATTGTCCGAGTTAGGTGTCCAGTAGGTCAAATCCTGACTCTCCAAGCATTGAGGCCATGTGATGACCTGATGGTATTCAATCTGTAATTCATTTGCTCAATATGCCCCGTGACCCGCCCAGCCGGCCATAGCTCGTGTTATGTTTCAGTGAAAACAACTTCACCAGGGAATCAAGCGGTAATAACCAGACTATGGTTCTCGAGTTCGCAATGAATATTTAAGCATATATTCAACTTAGTTTTGTGGCTTTACATCATGTTGAGAGTTTAACTCCAGATTCTTTCAGTTCAAGTGGTCATTTTAATCAGGTACTACGTTTAGGGCATAGCCTCTGAACCGGGACTCACCAAACAGTATTTTACTTGAGATGAAAAACAGGATCGGCCGTTTGTTCCAATCTATTTTGCATTGCGTGATTGTATGAAGTCCTACAGTGAAATCGCTCCGCTAAATGATTTTTGGTGCATTACCCACATCTTTGTATGTTATTTTTCCCGCTCACACTTGTTCTTCGTAAAATGCTTGATTAAGGTATACTTTACGCAAGGTGATTGTCATATGGTGCTTATTTTTGGATGATTTTTTATTGAACGCTCTGTGGTCCTATCAATGCTTTTTTCGCCGTCTTCATCGTAAGAACACATGTTCAGAAAATATGGAATTACACACACAGGCCCCTGGTTTTTGCCTGTATTTTTCTTCTTCAAGTTGCTGCGTCCTCTTCGTTCATGCACTCTGGATGGTTTTTCGCTCGGTCTCCAGGTGATATCCTTTTTCTTTTTGTTTTTATTCCTCAAGGATATTCGTAATGTGTTGACGGACGAAATCCAACCTGGTTTAAAACATTGGCAAAAAGAACATTTTCACAAAACGTCGTTACCTCCACAATCTTTGAAGGAGTCCAAACAATTTGAACAAGAGTTTGATCAAGCACAAAAACCGTGGGCAAAGCGTATGAAAAAAGTGAACCAGTGCAAAAAGGAATACTATCAGGCGTGCAAAATGGAACGATCACTGCAGGTGCAAGTGCAAAACGCAAAAAATGATCCCAATGGTACTCCAGAACAGGTATGTGTGTATGCATGTGTGTTCGTATACATGTGTTCAACCACATTTTTCGTTCCCCATTCCGCAACTCAATTTGCGATCTATGGTCATATGCTTTTTACATATAGCATTTAGGATTGCCGGTTTCTTATTCCCTCTCTCTCTCTCTCTGTGTGTGTGTGTGTGTGTGTGTGTGTGTGTGGTATTGGTTCCAAGGGAATACATAGCAACACTTGGTAGTTTTTCTTTTCACTTTATACTGTATTTAATAACATAGGTGGATAATGTATGCGATCTTTTTGTCAGTTTCTTCCGACTTTCAAACGTCATTCTGCTAAATAGGATTATGCGGGTCCGGTGAACGGATCAACTTGCATAAATGTTTCTGCTCGCTGTTCGGAGATATATCAACTTGTTCCGACCGAACTTTCCCCATGATATTTTCCCAGTCTAATTGCTACGATATACTTTTTTCGGCTTCCGGTAATTTCTTACCTCAATTTCTTTTCCCTCGGACTTCCTGGATTTTATTGTTGATTATCGGAACACTTCCTTTGGACGTCATTCGAGACTTAATCTCACTAAAAATTATTCAATCATGATTCTTCTTTTCCTTTTGGTTTACCTACAATGAATCACCCACCTAAGATATGTTCACTTCTTCCTGTACCTCACCCATTAATTTCTTATACAATAACACCACTGTTTCACGAGCTACAGTTGTTTCTCCGGTCAGTCTGAGCACCAACCATACTGGGTTTCATTTCTTCTTTGGCCTTGTTTCACACAGTTATGTAACACTAACTGTTCTGTTTTGTTGCATTCTATTCTCTTTGGCAGCGATCAGTGAAGTTTGCCTCACTGTATTTCGCTGTACGATGATGATTCTGTTCTTTTCTCTAAACTTTTTCTCCCTCCTGAATTATTCTCAGCCACACATGTGTAAACGACTGGCTCAAGTTAACTGTTTCCAAAGGAAGCATACCTTGGGATAGACGTTTTCATCTATGTCACATGTGTGCATCCTCCTGTTTGCTTTGTTGTGTGCTCACAGTCAATGGAAATGACCAGAGAGAAAAAAGAGCAGTCATGCAGGGTGACACCGCAACAGTCCTATCAGTGAATACGTTCTGTGCACAGCTATATGAACAATACCTTGACTTTGCTACGGTTATCGCTCACATGCGTACTGACGGCGTACCCGGTAAGCGACGTATCTTCCTCCCTTCCAGCGGCTAAGGTGACAGACAGCAAGCTAAAAACTCAATCTCAATGCAAGGAACAATCTTCACATTGCGTGCTCGAACGTAGCTAGATACAAGATGTTAAAGTATCACCATGCCCACACCACGATTATCGAGCCCTTCGGAAGTTGGGATACCAAATAATGGGTCCTAGCGCATCAAATCTTCGATAGTGTATTCGACTTAATATTAACACCGCAATGAGCCCACCGACAACTCAGGACTCCACGACGTTGCACTCACATTAAACAACCGGACTGAAAACTTTGATGGTCAGGGTCCTCAGTATCCTCTCACTCTAGCGCGATTACGGGGTTTCGCTCGGAATCCTATGGTTACTGTTTACGCACCGACGAATACCGCTGAAATCAACTCAATGACCTACAGGACACAGTTAACCGGGTAGCAAGACGCGGCTTCGTGTCTATCAAAAATGTGCTAGCAATGCTCGCACGGGATCCTTGAACAATTCCTTTCAACAATTGCTAGGGAAATTTACTCTTGGCCAACACTACAGGAACTTCGATCGCCTTGTTCACAAAATACTCCATTTACGGTACTACGCATCAAATTGGTCACATTTGGGTATAATCGCGATGGCCATTTTCGGTCTAGAATGGCGGTGAAACCAGAAAAAAAACTACTCCGGCCATCTCGCTTCAAGATTTGCTTCTCTTATCACCATAAGAGTACAAAGAGCCGCATGCACATTGCGGCTTCATACATCCAAGAGGAACGGCAAACATTAGCGGTACTCAGCTTCTCACCTGAACATTAGGACACTTGTCCTTTCAGAAACAATGGCTGCAAATGAGCAATTAAATGCACTGTTTTGTTTTATTTGGAAGAGCGAGTTGTTCCCTTGGAACCAGGATACGCCCATCTTAATCCCCAAGATTTCCAAGAAATACGACAAGTTGATATGCGGTGACTCCAGAAGAATCAGCTTGATTCACGTGGCTGCCCAAGCCTATATACGACTGCTCCACTGCTTCCTATGCACATGGCCCAACCAAAAAAACACGCTTCCAACGCGTCAGAAGCTGTTCGCACCAAAGTTCCGCGCAACCCTGAATACTAGAACATCGCTTTAAATATCCGAATCCCACTTCGGTTTGCTTCCTCGAGCTCCTCGTTGCTCTCAGTGTGATAATACGCCGTATCAGGTTTCGAGGTTGATTAGTACTTACTGCTCACCTAGCTGATGAAAAATCACCGGAATTCTCGTTTAATTCATGACTCTGTCATGGGGATCTACTCTCTAAGGCTAATCAATTTTCGACCGATTGTTGAATGACAAGGGCGCTAGCTGACTACCGCGACATTCAGGTGAGTTCAAACCCATCGGTTTTGAAACTAGAGGTTGCTGAGATTTCACCCACATCCATGTAGCCTATTCTCAGCTGCAACGAGCTCTTCATTATCGGACCGGGAGTAAGCACATAAAGCAGGTGATTCTAACTGTTCGTCGGTGATGACCAGGTCGAATAAGTAACATCGTTTAATTATCTAAACTATTATACTTCCCAGTGGTTAAACAGAAAAATCAAATCGTTCTACAAATCAACGGCGCAACTCAGAAAGATCATAGAATCGTTACGAGATCCGTTTTTGATGATACTCTTTATCCCGTCTTGTGTTCGCGAAATCTGCTTTTAAAAACCAAAGATACAAAACAGGTGGAAGTATTTGTCCCCTGAAAGTCGCTTGGAGTGACCGGCGTTTCACCAACGGAGGGAAACTACGAGACTTGAACACCAAAAGCTATCGGACCCACTTCAGCGCTGTCGCCCGCAGTGAACTGGTTACGTCCTTCAGCGCCCGACCGTCGAGCTGTCGAAACAAGCACTTATTTCTCCTGCCGGCTTAGGGCGAAACTAAAATTACGGAACAACAATAAATTTGGACTTGGATCAACTATGCCCACACTCGCTAGTTGATCGGTTACAAATAGGTCAACAAGATTACACAGTTTTTCTCTGACTGCTAATCATAAACGAGCTAATTCCAAAGTTCGCACTTGTTGATACTGCATACACTTTCTTCAGCATAGCTAAACTAGATGTGACGATTTATTTGTGCTTGTGTATAAATAAATTACTTAGCGGTTGTCTTCATTCGGCGGAGTTCCAGAGTCCCATTGTATGTGGCCTTCAGAAACAGGTATTTCCACAATTCTCAATGCCCTGTTTCCGCGATGTACTTGTACAATTTTTGCAAGCGCTTGCACATACTTGTTTCCACTGTCTTTTGCCTCTGCCAAAGTAAGGTATCAGTCTTTCCTTTGGATATAAGGCATTTTTCTTCCAATCTACTCATTCCAACCGCATTCTTCGGTGTGATCCGCATTCTATTCGTCTGGTCACGTGTAGATGGAATCAGATCCCAAGGTGAGTTCCTCTCAGTCATTCTCTCTGCTGCGCTTCCAACTCTACCTTGTCAACTACGTCAGTATGCACCGCCGTCTGCAGTTTGGTGAATGCTCTTTCAAAGCACAATACGATTTCCTCCCCACTTTTGATCGTGATTGTATCACAGATACTATTTTTTTATTCATCTGATAAATGACGAGGCCATCAGAATAGGTGTGATATGGTGTTGCTGGTATAAAATTATTGCATCTCGGTACCGACTGTACGTATTCGCTCTTGAAAGAAGCGTCTATACAATAACATAGGCATGGTTGAAATATGGAGGCAAATTCTCTTTCATACTTGTCATCCAAATGACTCCAGTGAGATTATTGGTGTTTATGGTGTTTGTAATAGAACACAGCATAAACCTCGGGTGATAATTTATTTCATTACAGAGGACTCCGTT